AGTGGGACATATCTATGATTTACGAGAATACTAAAATGAGCAAGACCAGGTTCCCTTTTTTTTTGAGATGGAGTCTTACTCTGTCACCTGATTTCAGTGCAGTGACACAATCTCCGTGGTACAATCTAGGCTACTGCAACCTTTGTCTCCTAGGTTCAAGTGATTCAGCCTCCTAAGTAGCTGGGATTACAGGCGCCCGCCACCACATCCAGCCAATTTTTGTATTTTTAGTAGAGACGGGGTCTCACTATGTTGGTCAGGCTGGTCTCAAACTGCTGACCTCAAGTGATCGCCTGTCTCAGCCTCCCAAAGTGCTGGGATTACAAGAGTGAGCTATTATGCCCGGCCCTAGGTTCCTCTTGTAAAGAAACTTAAGAAGTAGATGAAACAAACATTTAGACAATTAACTACTCACTACAAAGGTGAGGGAGAAAAGTGGGGACAAAATGTGCCACTGGAATCCTGTGGAGCAAGGGCCCAACTTGGGAGTATCAGCAAAGACTTTAAAGAAAACAATAGAGATTCAACGGGCCACCTGTGGCACTTGTGGCCACACTGAGATTCATAAACGGCAACTGGGCAAAGGCCCATCATGAACTAGTCTAAGCCTTCAACTTCTCTACAACGCTGCTTGCTTTGCTAAATCTCTCAGCTGTCATTTCTCAACTCTCAACTTTGCTACTAACTTCAAAGGAAACCATCATTAACACTGTTCTTCTCTGGCACATTGCATATAAGAAGAATATAAATGGTGGAGAAGGATAAGAATCTCTACATATGGGACAGGTGGGGAGGCTCACACCTATAATCCCAGCACTTTGGGAGGTAGAGGGGGGTGTATCACTTGAGGTCAGGAGTTCAAGACCAGCCTGGCCAACATGGTGAAACCCTTGTCTCTACTAAAAATACAAAAATTAGCCAGGCATGGTGGCAGATGCTTGTAATCCACACTACTCAGGAGGCTAAGGCAGGAGAATCACTTAAACCTATGAGGTGGAGGTTTCAGTGTGCTGACATTGCGCCACTGCACTCCAGTCTGGGCAACAGAGTGAGAAAAAAAAGAATCCCCACACACAGAAGATTCTCACACATCAGGAGTGTTTAATTCATAATCAACTGGCTAAAAACAGCTCTCTGAACATGTAATGACAGTGGTAATGGAAAATGGCTATTCTTTTTTAGCCTTTTCTCTAACTCCCCATCTACTATACACATCATCCAAGCAAATACAGCAGGAAAAAAAAGACCAGCCACTCCCCAGCATAGCAGGCAGAAACTAAACACAGGAGAAGGCACCAAACTGAATGGGCAGCCATGTAGCTGCAAGAGAGAGACTGCCAAGGTTTTAGGACCCAGAACTGTTTTCTGGGCTTTGGTCTCAGGCTGCATAAGCCAGAGGATTCTGTTGGTGGCTAGTCAGGAAAAATAAAACCTGACTGCAAAATTAGAAAAGATAATATATCATATCTTCATATCCTCTTTTGCAAACAGTATTGAACTATCACCAGGTGTCAGGGCATCTTAAAAATTCAGTGTTTTCACTTAATATGAGAACAATTAATTCTACTTGCTAAAGGTGATATTAGAGATAAGTGAGTTAAAAAGTGCAACTATCACAAAGAGAAGGTCTTAGCAGGTTCTTTCAAACCTCCTGTCCTACCAGGTTAAATACTGGTACAGATATTAAACAAAGATCATAAGCATATTGAGCATCTTGCAGTCAGAGTACTCCATCTATGTATATACTGTACTAGGCACACATCAAGAAGGCCTGGTGATAGGGCATGCCCAGTGAGTTGGGGCTTTCTCTTATTCCTTGCCTCTGGAAGGCCTCCAGGGTGACTCCATCTTTCCTTCACACTACTGCCCACCCTCTGCAATCTTCCACATGAAATCCAATTTTGAGTTAACTGTGGGCATGCAAAGAAAGGGTGGTTGTCTCCCTATAGCAACTGAGTAGCTACCACAAAGGCATGCAGATTTTCACTTAGGCCTATCTCACAGCCATAAATATCTACATTGGGAAAAGAGAGAGTGAAAACAAGTGGGAGCCACAAGTAAAAACCTGCTACAAATACTATTACCAAGAGAAATATCTACAAACAACTTCTTTCCCAGGAAATGGCCCAAAACAGTTTACCAATTCTTCAGGATGACTCTTTTACTATAAATAATCTTGTGTCAAAAAAAATTACCTTTACTCTGAGGTAACCAGAGTCATGTAATGTAATGGCAATCTTTTCTCAGCACTGTAGATAAGATATATGGCTGAACTCCCCCCAACCCCCAAAATCTGGGCTGTAGTTCAACAATTTCTTTCAACTCTACTTCCCACTTTAGGCCTTCCAACCAAAACAGAGTTCGCTAGAAACACCCAAAATCACTCTTGAAAACAACTTTATATCTTGACCTGCTAAAACACCTTCTGATACTTCAAGGTCAAGCAAACCCAGATGACAACAGAAGTCAGATGATCTTTTTTTTTAAAACAGAGTCTTGGCCTGTCGCCCAGGCTGGAGTGAAATGCAGTGGTGTGATCTCCACTCACTGCAACCTCCGCCTCCTGGGTTCAAGTGATTCTCCTCCCTCAGCCTCCTGAGTAGCTGGGATTACAGGTACTCACCACAACACCTGGCGAAATTTTGTATTTCAGTAGAGATGGGATTTCACCATTTGGCCAGGCTGGTCTCAAACTCCTGACCTCAGGTAATCTGCCCGCCTTAGCCTCCCAAAGTGTTGGAATTACAGGCATAAGCCACCATGCCTGGCCCGAAATCATCAGAGAATTTTTAAAAATAAAGAAGACTCAGCCGGGCACAGTGGTTCATGCCTTTTAATCCCAGCACTTTGGGAGGCCAAAGCGGCTGGATTACCTGAGGTCGGGAGTTTGAGACCAGCCAGCTTGAACAACATGGAGAAACGCCGTCTCTACTAAAACATACAAAATTAGCCGGGCATAGCAGCATATGCCTGTAATCCCAGCTACTCGGGAGGCTGAGGCAGGAGAATCACTTGAACCCAGGAGATGGAAGTTGCAGTGAGCTGAGATCACACCATTGCACTCCGGCCTGGACAACAAGAGCGAACCTTCTTCTCAAAAACAAAACAAAACAAACAAAGAAACAAAAATCAGGAATAATCTTTCAAACACATTTCCCTTTTGATCTTGAGAAATTTAAAGTCAAAGTAAACAAAGTGGAAAAAGATCCCTTCAAGAATAACAAGGTCACAAGACCATCCTGGTCAACATGGTGAAACCCCGTCTCTACTAAAAATACAAAAAAATTAGCTGGGCATGGTGGTGCATGCCTGTAATTCCAGCTACTCAGGAGGCTGAGGCAGGAGAATTGCCTGAACCCAGGAGGCGGAGGTTGCGGTGAGCCGAGATCGCGCCATTGCACTCCAGCCTGGGTAGCAAGAGCGAAACTCCGTTTCAAAAAAAAAAAAAAAAAAAAAAGAATAACAAGGTCAATGTGAGATGGAAATTCCATCAATGATTTACTGAAAGATAAATTGCAAATGGTACTATGAAAAGTGTTCTGGACTAGAAGACAGAAGGTCTAGATTTGGGTACAAGTCCCAGCAATTACTAACTGTGTGGTAATAACAGCTAATAGCTATCATTTGTTGAGATTTACTATGAACCAAACACTGTTCTAAGTGCCTTGTGTACATGAACTCATTTCATCTTCACACATACCCTGTGTGGTAGGCCCTGTTTTCTTTTGTTTTGTTTTGTTTTGTTTTGTTTTGTTTTGTTTTGTTTTGTTTGGAGATGGAGTCTTGCTCTGTTGCCAGGCTAGGCCAGAGTGCAGCGGCACAATCTCGGCTCACTGCAACCTCCGACTCCTGGGTTCAAGCCTTTCTCCTGCCTCAGCCTCCCGAGTAGCTGAGACTACAAGTGTGTACCACCACACCCAGCTAATTTTTGTATTCGTAGTAGAGACGGGGTTTCACCATATTGGCCAGGATGGTCTCAAGTTCCTGACCTCGTGATCCGCCTGCCTTGGCCTCCCAAAGTGCTGGGATTACAGGCATTAGGCATTGTGACTGGCTGGTAGGCCCTATTTTAATTCTGCTTTATACTAAAGGAAATTACACAGAGTAATTAAGTGATTTGTTCAAGATCACCCAGTAAGTGGTGGAACCATGAATTTGAATATTAACATTTCTGAATCTTGGCTGTCTTTGTCAAATGAAGAAACCAAATATTTGTCCCAATTACCTTACAGAGATGTAGTTTGTAAGATAGTGTATATAAAGATGTTTTGTACACTAGAGAGTCATGTAAGTCTTGATTTTTCTTTTACTGCATTTTCAATTATTTCCCTAACAGATAAAATTAAAGTTGAGTTTTTGCATATGGTCTCATTATAAAAATTAGAATTCAAATTAATGATATGCACTTTCTATTTTGCATTTGCAAGCATTTAGTGAATAAAGAGAAGTAACCTAGATACTGAAGAAAAGCCTTAATTAAAGTTACTTGAATGACAGACTGAATATTACTGCAAACAAATAATAAAGTGTCAGAATATCTGCTTTCATATATGATTAGCCATTTCCACCACAAGAGTATCAGAGGTAATATTTTCTGATTTTAGTACATGTTTAAAATAAAAGCCAATTATGCCTATAAACAGAGCTGCTCTATTAGTCTGAAAGGTGTTTAAAAAAAAAAAAAAAAAACTTGGCCAAAAAATTATCAGCTTCCTCTGTTCTCTTGCCCTCTGACCCAGTAACAGATAATATGATTATAAAACTCTTCCATTATTCTCTAGTGGGTTCCAAAGGAAGAAAAAGAAAAGAGAAAAAAAAAAAAAAAAAACTCTTCCAGTTTCAGAAATGGTAACCTGAGGAGTATGTGGGGGCTTCAGTGATGTGGCGAGCTATGGGAGGTCCTCAGCTCCCAGCCAGTCTGTGAGAGCAGACAGGGCTCTGGAGGGAACAGGAGGAGCTCCTGGTCACTGTCACCATCACAACCTTAGGTTATAGGTAGAATGGATAGCCGAAAATTCCTTGCTTTCCCACTGATGCCAAACAGGTTGGAGATGAAGGGTAGAACACTGAGGGATTTTTTTTTTCTTTCAACAATCCTAAATTGGCCAATGCAATTTTCTGGGAGAAAAAGGAACACCAAGGTTGGGAGATGAACTTAATTAGGACAATTCCATTTCACTTGGCCAAGTGTGTGAAGTGTAAATTTAATTTAAAGATTTTTATTTTATTTATTGAGATGGAATCTTACTTGTTGCCCAGGCTGGAGTGGTGCAATCTCATTCACTGTAACCTCTGCCCCCCCAGGTTCAAGCGATTCTCCTGCCTCAGCTTCCCCAGTAGCTGGGACTACAGGCGCGTGCCACCACACCCAGATAATTTTTTGTATTTTTAGGTAGAGATGGGGTTCCACTGTGTTAGCCAGGCTGGTCTTGATCTCCTGGCCTCATGATCTGCCCGCCTCAGCCTCACAAAGTGCTGGGATTACAGTGTGAGTCACCGCGCCTGGCCAAGATTTTTTTTTTTAATACCTGAGAACACATTAAGTATAACCTCCAATATGTTCTCAGCTATCTTTCAAAAACAAAGCTTCCTGACCTCTTAAATACATAATTTTTCATGTTATAATTTTTTAATACTTGATCCCTAGTACAAATAACAATCATCAACAACTGTACTACCACAACTATCATGTACTAAATGCTCCCAATATTCTAGGCACTTAGCTAATAAGTGCCTAATAATGTTAGCTCATTTCATCCTCACAGTAACTCTATGAGGTGAATACAATTGTTATTATTACCATTTTACAGATGAGGAAAATGAAGCTCCAAGAGGTTAAGGGAATTCTCAGAATGAAACCTAGATATGAAATCTGTAATTAAAACCTGGATCAGTTTCCAGAGCCCATTAATTTATACCACCTCATCTAAAAATGGTAAGATAAACTTTTCAATATCACTAATAAAGAGCTTGCCTTTAAAATGTCCTTGTGACAGTGACCATTTAATAGTGTTTTAATAGCAATAAGTAGTCACCGTGTGCTTTAGTCTTATAATTTAAGGCCTATGCAGACATAATTGCTCTAAAGCACACAAAAACAATATTAAGGGCTATTCTCTGAAACAATGGGCATGGACTCTTATGATATAAAAGACAAAAAGCCTAGGGAACTGTCTGAAGTAAAGAAGAGTAAAGAGATAAAACAATGAAATGCAGTGCGTGCCTGTAATCCCAGCTACTCAGGAGGCTGAAGCAGGAGAATTGCCTGAACCCAGGAGGCGGAGGTTGCGGTGAGCCGAGATCGCACCATTGCACTCCAGCCTGGGTAACATGAGTGAAACTCTGTCTCCAAAAAAAAAAAAAAAAACAATGAAATGCAGAACCCAAGACGGCTGCACTCTTGCTGAGACATGCTGGTCATCATTGCCTCCAAGCCCACTTTTGCCCGAAGCTCTGTGTCAGAAATGCTGTTCCTTTGGGAACCACAGCCAAAGAAGAGATGGATCAGTTCTGAAATAAGAATACAGGCTCAAACCATCCCGTTTGAACACATCACTATCTACAGTTGGTCTCTTCCCATGGTAATGTCCATCTGTCACCGTGGCACTGGCATTGCTTTGAGTGCAGGGGTCTCTCTTTCTGGCACATCGGCCCTGTTACTCCCTGGGAACTTTGAGTCTTATATGGAACTCATGAAGTCCCTGCATCTGGGGCCAGCACTGATCCACGCAGCTAAGTTTGCACTTGTCTTCCCTCTCATGTATCATACCTGGAATGGGATCTGCCACTTGATTTGGGAACTAGGAAAAGGCATGAAGATTCCCCAGCTATACCAGTCTGGAGTGGTTGTTCTGGTTCTTACTGTGTTGTCCTCTATAGGGCTGGCAGTCATGTGAAGAACAGAGGTTCCCAGGATCATCTTCCTGTACATTATTACATTCACCCATCTTTCTGTTTGTCACTTTTATCTCCAGCCTGGGAAAAGTTCCCCTTATTTGCTTGGATCCTTTTGCGCTTTCAGATCCCCTTGGAGCAGTAGAGTACCTTGTAGACCATAATAGTGGAAAAGGGTGTAGTTTTCCCCTTGTGTTTAAAGATGGGGTGGCTGCAAAAACTCCCCTTTTTTGCCCACAGCTTATCTACTCTGGGCCTGGAAGCAGTTATTCCCTTACCATATTGGGCTTTGATTTCTGCTGAGGGTCAGCTTTTGGCTCCTTCTTCCTGACAGTGGAAACAATGCTAACTCTGTGGCTTCTGCCCTGGGGACGGGGGGTGAAGCTTTGAGTGCCACTCTCTGTGTGTTGCTGGCTTAAACAACAATTTTGTTCGCTGGTAAGAGCCCAGGCCATTAACACCTATGTAGTGTTATTGAAAGAAGAGAGGTGAGGGTGGAAAGGAATTAGTCTATGCCAGCTAGAGGGAGATAAAGAGGACTAGTTAGTTCTTGGAGCAGCTGCTTTGAGGAGAAACTATACAGCTTTTGACACAAGAGGAAGGTCCAGAAAATTATCATTGAACATATTAAAGGTTATTTCTTTCTCTTGCATTTCCAGAAAAGCCTCTTAATTTTATGCTTTCTTATCCAAGTCATGTACCATTTTTTTTCTGAAACTGAATTAAAATATTCTTAAAAAAAAAAACAAACTAAATGCAAGTTGTTATATCTCCTGACTTTGAGTGGATTGTGAATTTTTAAAAATGCTCTAAAGGACATTATTGAAACAGTCTGGATATTTCTTGTTCTCAGGAGAAATGTACTAAAGTATTTAGGCATGAGAGGTCTATGACTTGGGGTTTTTTTTGTTTTTTGTTTTTTTTTTTTTGAGACAGAGTCTCACTCCATTGCCCAGGTTGGAGTGCAGTGGTGCAATCTTGGCTCACTGTAACCTCTGCCTCCCCGGTTCAAGTGATTCTCCTGCCTCAGCCTCCTGAGTAGCTGGGATTACAGGCAAGTACCACCACATCTGGCTAATTTTTGTATTTTTAGTAAAGACAAGGTTTCACCATGTTGGCCAAGCTGGTCTGAAATGCCTAACCTCAGGTGATCCACCCGCCTCAGCCTCCCAAAGTGCTGGGATTACAGGTGTGAGCCACTGTGCCCGGCCTACACTTACCTTAAATGGGCTATTGGGGAAATATAGAGAGAGACAGAGATAGAGAGAGAGAACATGCACGCACAAATGTGACAAAATGCTAATAACTGGTGAATCTAGAAGAAAGCTATATAGGTGCCCACTGTATTATTCTCAGAGCTTTTTTTTGTAGGTTTGACATTTTTCAAAATAAAAATTTGTGGGAAAAAAAAAAACCCTACAAGGTCTCCCATTCTAGAAAGAGGGATGTGCGCGTGCGCGTGTGTGTGTGTTTAAAAAAGAAACACCAGTTCTTCAAATCAGCTAATACTATCAGTGATGTATATGTTTCAAGTACTGACTAAAAATGGAAAAAAAATTCAGCTTGTGGAGCTGTGCCCTGAACCACTTCAGCTTTCATAAAATGGCAAACCAAAGAATGGCTAGTTTCAGACTGAGACCAACCCTAGAAGGAAAGGTCCATGGCCTGGGCAGATGGGCAGCTCTCTCCTCTCACAAAATCAGGCTTCCTCTTACCAGTGACCTTCCTAGAGAGACCTAAAGGGCACTGCTCTAGCCAGAGCTGCCCAAGTTTAGACTTTCTTTGGCACAGGCAGTCTGTTCTAAACACTCTCTGACCTTGGCTTTCAGGTCAGAGGACTTACCTGGTTTGCCTCAGGAGACTTTTTTTAGACTCAATTCAAGAATACCAAAAAGATTTAAGAGGTGCCAGGTATGATGCTAAGTACTGTTGTTACGAAAATGAATAAGCCACAGAAGAACCCTGACCCAGAAAAAGTCAGACTGTAAATAAATAACCAATAAGTAACATTAAAAGTGGTACGTTGGGGTTATGTCCTGCAGGACACTGGCGAGAAAAAAAATGGAGGAGATCTGCCCAAACATCAGGGAAAACCATAGAGCAAAGGGCATATCTGAGCCAGAGGCTGATTACTTTTCCAGAAAGTAAGTGCATTCCAAGTTCAGGAAGGTGCACAGGCCAAGGCATGGAAAGGCCAAAGGGTCAGCTCACTTGGAGAACAGTGAGCACAGTTCATTAGTTAGAGGATTGAGAGTGGTGGGTGGGAAGAGTTGAAGCAGCTCATCAATCCCTGCCTGCAGCTAGAGAGCACTGTAGGTTTCTGAACTGGATCTCTTATTCATTTTCCTCTTGAATGAGGATATCTCATCTCCAAGATTCACTCAACATTTATTATGTAACCTGCACACTGCAAGGGAATACTATCATGAGCGAATTCTTGTTCTTAAGGAATTTATATACTGGCACTAGAAGATCATAAGGAATAAACACAGAGAACTCTTAACTTAGGAACAATGCATTAAGGATCCTAAGAAGTATTTTTGTAAACATATTTTTTAAAGTTGGACAGCACAGAAAGAAGTAAGATCACTTGCAGAGAAGACATGAATAGAGAAATAAGGAAAGGCTTTCTGCAGGTGGCGACACAGGGGCCAGACCTTGATGGTATGACATAGGTGAAAACACTGAAGACACGGAGGAAACATTCCAAGGGAAACAACTAACCTAAGTTAAAATATAGAGGTTGGCCAGGTGCAGTGGCTCACACCTGTAATCCCAGCACTTTAGGAGGCTGAGGTGGGCGGATCACAAGGTCAGGAGTTCAAGACCAGCCTGACTAACATGGTGAAACCCCTTATCTACTAAAAATACAAAAACCAGCCAGGCGTGGTGACGGGTGTCTATAATCCCAGCTACTCGGGAAGCTGAGGCAGGAGAATCGCTTGAATCCGGGAGGCAGAAGTTGCAGTGAGCTGAGACAATGCCACTGTACTCCAACCTGGGTGACAGAGTGAGACTCTGTCTCAAAAAAAAAAAAAAAAAAATGTAGAGGTAACCCTGCAGATAGATACAGCCTAAGTGCATGGATTCCTAAACATTCCCCTTAGATTCAGAACTAAACATGTTTCTTTTCTTTTTCTTTTTTTTTTTTTTTTTTTTTTGACGTCACCACATCGATCCTAAACATGTTTCTTTAACAATATTTACTGTGTGGGACTAAGACTTGATTCTAGCCTGTTTTGTGTTTTCTATGACACTAGTAACTTTTTTGTGGGTTTCTTGCTGGGCGGCAGGGATGGGAATAGTTGGGAATGGGCAAAAAAATAAGCTAGCAGAGTAGAACCACCCCAGAGTTGAAAACTGGTAATCTTCCTGTGTTCTTAGTAAAGTCTTGCAGTCCAGGGCAGTGACCTGGGTTATTTGGACTTAAAATCTGCTTACGTAATCACACGTTCTCTATAATAAAGAGGTCCTTGTGAAGTCTGCCAATCTGTCAGTTCTAGTCACAGTCAGTTTAAACAAGCACCTGACCAAGGAAACAGAGACCAGACTGGGGGTATGGGAGAGAACTGGTCAAACTAGTTGGGTAATTTTATTATTATTGAGCATGACATTTCCATCACAGTCAAGGACACTAAGATTATTTAACACCTAATAAACCTAAGTATTGTGTTGGTGCTTATATACACTGGCCTCACATAATCCTCTAAACAACCCAACAAGTAGTATTAACTCAGATAAGTAAACTGAGGCTTAAAGGTTAAATTACTTGCTCAATGTCATATAGCTAGTCAATGATGGTGCCCACACCTGAGTCCACAAACCTAGCTTTCGCCCCACTATTTGTTGCTCTCCCTCAGTCAGCAAACAACTGGGGAACTCTGTTTCAATCCAGGTGATGCTCTCCTATAGACAGATGAAGCTTTAGTCTGGCCTTGTGCACATACTGCCTGAGCTTTGATAGTCTAATTTCTTCTCCTCCCTAGACTTTAACATTCCTCTGATCAGTTCTTAATGAAACATCTTAATGATGTTTCCAGTGAGTTTTTTCTGCGCCACCCTTCTCAAGACTAAAGTGGATCCACTGTCCTTTGAAAAACAACCCAGGTCTCTGGCCTCAGTTTTCAAAAAATTTCAGGAGACCCTCCCAGCTGGCTTCTCATTCTTAACTCTTCAATTAACATATCCTCTCTTGGTCTCACCTGGTCATAGCCTTAGCCCTATCTAACTACTGTCAGCAAGTCCCAGCCCAAGCTATATCCTCTTCTAAAACATCCTCTCTGTCTCAGTCTGCCAGATTTGCACCTTCCATTTCAGTTCCTAACGTCTATTTTTTCCTCGAAAAGTTCTCATCAGGAGGAGTTATGGCTTCTCTGAACTAAATAAGCAACTCCCGCATCCCATCACCTCTGCCTGGGCATAGCACAGTGTGTACTGATGTGACCTTGAACAAGATGTTTCTGTTATTTATGTGGCTGCTCAAGCTTTGTCCTGTGGCCTATATATTCTTAATGACTTCCTTCTGTACAGTCCCTCAAACTATAAATGCTTTGAAAGCAAAGTCTAACTTTATAGTTCATCTTCAATACAATGCTGAAGAGAAAAGCATTTATAAAAGTGTAAAGTGAGAGTGTGCTAAGCTTTTAAAAGCAAAGATAGATGAACTCCATCTGTCAAAACAGCATAGAACAAAACAAAAAGCCCACACTTGCTATCACACAATACAGTTTCCATGGTTTTATAAGAAAATCCTTCCTGGGTATGACAACCACAATCAAGTAAAATATTAAAATATAGGATTCATAAATCACCAAACAGAGTGAGCACTATAAGCCAGGACCTGATTTTTTTTTTTAAGAAGGCAGAATGTTACTCAAAAGATGAAAAACTTACCTGAATTGAACCTTAGAAATTAATTTTATAATCATAAAAAAGAAAAAGAAAAAAGATGACAAACAGCAAAAGGTTAAATACAGGATAAAACCCTTGGCTTCTCAACTTGATCAGTTTACGTAACTCAGAAGGTGGAAAAACTTGGAATCGGGCCTAAAACAACACTGACTTATTTCCATTCAAGTTATGCTACAAGGGAAAAAATGTGAAATTTGAAAACTTTCCTTTTCAAAGCCAGATTTAGACAAGTTGAAGGAAAAAGAAATAAATGCTACACTGCAGCCCACTGCAGCTCCACAATGGCCTGTTTTTGCCCATTCAAAGTAGATTCCTCTTCCTTGTTCCTCAAACATTTTCTCCTTAGCTAGCTGGCTTGTGTTCAATCTGAATAGTATGTGGCCTGGCTTGTGCCAGGTTCACAAACCATGCTGGTATTGCAAAAACTTCCACAACTACATGACCTTGGTCAAGAGGACTAGAGGACAAGCCAGCCTAGCCAGTGCAGAGAACATACATGATCACCAGCAGAAATAGCCATTCAGGAATATACACTTTTCTAAAAGTGGGCGGGAATCAGTGCACAAGGGTTTGGTCACTCTTATATAAGGCTGTGTGCCTATTACTATTTCTTTTCATCTGGACCCTGTGCCCCTAGACTGCTGAAGCTAACACTGTGAGCTGCCCAGGTAAGCTGAGAATGACAGCCTCTTCCATTCCACTGCCAGCATCACTGGCTTCTGAACACAGTTTCAGAGCCACATGGCCAAACTCCTGTACAACATCTGTAGCTGGCTGCCATCATTGCCTTTGCCCAAGAGGCCTCAACAGTGGTAGCATAGCTGTGCTCATTGCCCAAC